CGAAACCAATTTTTTTCGGTTTTTGCCCACCCCTAATTAAACTAGTAGGTATTGGCAAATATGTTAAACTAAAAAGTATGTCAATTATTTTTCTTTAAAAGTATATAAAATATTAATTAAAGTCAATATTAAATAAATTAAATATATTTTATATATTCTAGGTTTGATTTGAGGGAATTGGGAGGAAGTGATGGGAGTGGAGGATAACGAAAGAATGCTGCATTTTTTTTTCTAATTTTTTTTCAAAATTAATTTAGAGATCACTTTTTATATTTTTTTTGTACAACCTTATATATCATTTAAATAATTTATTTATTTATTTATTTAAAATTTATAATATTAAATATATCTACATATTTAATGACATACAAAAGTTGCACAAAAAAATTATACAAAAAGATTATCATATAAAAAAATTATCTCTATATTACTTCCCTTCTTTCCCCTCTTCTTCCCTCTTTTAATTTGGATAAGTGAAAAAATTAAAAATTAAAAAAAAAAAAAAGAGAGTAAAGGACTTCATTTTACTCGCATCCTCTCTAATTTTTTCAGTAACTAAAAAGAAGAATTTTCTCCTTTTTTTTCCCCTCTCATTCCCTCAAACCAAATATAATCTCATAAAAATGTTAGGGTTTGCTGGTTGTACTTTGCTTGTGCCTGTAATAAGGTGTTATTTAATTTCAATTTTTTCCCTATGTAGCTCTCGCTCTTCCAAACTTCCCCCCACCTATTCTAAGATTCAAACTCAAACTTCAACATTGATACTCAAACACTTAACCATGATACATCCTACAATACACATCAATTCTAACGAGGCATTGGGATAGGGCAAGAATAGTCTTTTACCATTTAGGTTTAATGGTAAATTTAGTCTCTAAACTTTGTCTTAATGCACTTTTTTAATTCTTGAATAATTTTTTTGTATTTTATTTGTCCCTGTAATTGGTAATGTGCACTTTTTTTTCTTAAACAATTTCTTTTATACTTTTTGATCCCTTACCTTAATAACATTCAATTTTTTTGTCCTTCTGTCAACAAAAGTCCATGTGACCTGTTAAGTTGGTTAAAAAAATTAATTTTTTTCTCAAAAGTTTAATGATATGTACATGCTATCTTCTTCCTCAAACTTCTGATCTTCCTCCCCCTTCCTTTTCTCTTGTGCTCCTGTTTCTGTATTTGTTCTTCTTGTAGTGGGATCTCGACAATGACAAATCATCACCATCCTCTCATCTTTTCTTAAAAGTTTGAAGAAAATGAATTTTTAATCTATTTAAAATGCCACGTGGACTTAGACTTCTGTTGATGGAAAGTCTAAAAACGTACACATTATCTAGTTAATAGACCAAAAAAAGTGCATCACGGCAATGTTCAAAGACCAAATTTAGCATTAAATGTATTGCTTCCAATCTATTTTACTTATCACACTTTTTAAAAAAAAGATAGTTTAATTTATTTGTTTATTTCAATTTTTAATATAGCAAAAGACTTCTTTTTCAATTTTACCTCTATTAATAATTACTCTATTCTTAAAAAATACATCTCAACTTCTCAATTACTTTCATTAATAAGGATAAATATAAAATTTTAATTAATAATAAGTTTGTTATTATGAATCTTTATAATTTTTTTCTATGATTGTATCAAGTAAAAGTATTAACAAGTAAAATAAACAAGTAAAATAAACAGATGTAATATCATTTAAAATGTGAATTCCTGCTCTACATGGTGTCTTTTTTATTTTTTGTCATGCCCTTCAAAATATATAGTATTTCATTAAATATTTGATAAAAGTCATTACAAAGCATAATAGCCACAGGCAGTTGGCCCTTGTGGCCCAATGGCTAGTGCAATTGAAAAAGTGCATATCCCATTCCCCTGTGTAGGTTTCGAACCCGCCCCATGACAAAAAATTCAAAAAAAAAAAAGCATAATAGCCAGAGACTCTGAAAAATAAGACTAATAACCAAACCAGCTTGAAGCTGTAAAACCAGAAGCATTATCATTAAGAATTCCTCAATGAGGAAGTTCCTAACTCATGAGTCTTGGTATCCAAGTACATCTTGCAGACCAGTTAGCAGCTGCATTGGCTATTCTTCTTATTCTTATGTGCTTTAAAATAAACTCAAAAACAATTTGCCAAACGCACAGCATCCTCAATGATCACTTTGACCTGCCTTTGCAGGATCTTTAAAGGCATTGCAAACTACCATGGAACCAGTCTCCACTCCACAATAATATTGTCTAAACTTTAAACTGAATTCCTCGGTCCATTTCATGGCTCTTCCAAATCAGCATTGGCTTCAAAGATTAGGGCAGAAGAACTTGGGACAATGCGTGTTTAGTTCAAATGCTTTCTTACAACAATTTACTTGATTAAAGTACAAATAAGGATTCCAATCAATATCATCTGAATTAAGTAATTATTCTGTAGACATTCAAGACTGCACAGATTAAATCAAGTTGTAACTCATCTGCAGTCCTACCTTCCAGTAAAGGATCTCACAGATGTAAATCAAGCAAAGAACTACTGCAGTTCAAAACTTATCTTACAAATGTTCAAGGCATATGGTGGGAATATAGACCACATGCTTTAATGCTTTCCAGTTAAATATATAGTTCAAATCTCAGCTGAAGAAAAGGATAAAACAAAATGGATTGATCCAACGGTTGTAGTTATGCAAATGAGACATTGTAAGTCCATGAACACATTCTTGCCATCTCAAAGGATCAGAACTGGAATTGCATCTCAGGTGCATACCCAAGAGCATCGAGGTGAGCAGCCATGGCCTTGTTCATGGGTGGTGGACCACACCTCAGAATCTGCAGATCCCCATTTAATCAGACTTTTCATTTCATGATCTTCGTTTATAGATATTTGATTTTCGTTTTTCTTTGATGAAAATGGCAAGATATTGAATGTGTTCATAAATCAGTAATATACCTGGATATCAGGTGCCGGTGCAGGGCAGTGGGTTTCAATCATTTCCTTTGACACAAAGCCAACACCACCATCCCAGACTTCAGGGGGCTGATGAACAACATATAAGGCAGTTTCTTAAGAAAACGGTGATCTGATATAAACATATAACATTAAAAAAAGAAAAAGAAAAAGGCAGAATTGCCCAACAAGAACAAGACTTCAGAGATCTCAAACAGCATATCTAGATTCATATAGCTGCTAAACATGAAAAGCAAAGGGGCTGGAACCAGGGATGCTGCTTCTCTAAGATCTGATAGATTTTACAAATGACAATATTTATAAAACTAGGAAGTAGGAACAGATAAAAACCAAAAAGGATTCAATAAGAGGTCATTGCAAATGGCAGCTAACCTGGTTCAAAACATAGTAGACCTCAAATCGATCTGGATACTTAGCAGCAAGGCCATCAAGTTCTTCCTGAAAATAAATTGGATGATTTAATCTTCTTTATCATCTAGGGCATTTGCAACCCTCGGAGACATAACAATCACATTTCACACAGATGGTGTGGGGTTTACAAACACCAGCAGCTATGAGAAAATTCAAATACTGACCTTACTACTTCCATGTTTATTTCTGAAAAATCAGAAAAATTTTGAAGCAATAAAGTAATTTAGATAATAAATTAAGAAATTCTTGCAAATTATACAACTGCAAAATTTCTCATTAATTAATATTTGTTCCTTCAAGTTGAGTCCAGCTCTCAATAGTTTTAAGCATGCCTATTATGTTTGGACAAGCTGAATAAAATAAAGAATTATGCACAACCATATGATGCACTGAGTTACACCACAAAAAGAAAAAAAAAGGCTTATAAATTAATCTGTACAGGAAGCATATGGCCATAAGCCAGCCATACTTGTCTCACGTTTGCTATCTTGGATTGTTCAATAAATTGAGAAGCAAGAAAAAGAATGACAAATGAGTAGGAACTGGCATTACCTTCAAAAGAATGTCCTCGTAGGTGACATTGGCATAAATAAGGTGCACCTTTGTCTTGTCCTTTGGGTTCTCTAATATGGCCCTGGCAACCTAAAACACAAACAGAAGAAAGAAGATGACATAATAAGCAAAATTATAATGCCTATGTAGAGGCAATTATAGAAAACAGGACGGCAAGCTGACATCTCTACAAATGAGCAACCACATGAAAAGAATGATTTTTCAATGACTAACATACTTGGAACATGGGGGTTATGCCAGAACCTCCAGCTATCATCCCAAATGCTCTAACCTGACCAGGCTGATACTTGAACCTCCCCTGGAATAAACAATTCAAATGCCAAAGGAGAAAGGAAATTGCAATCACCCATGAATGAAATAATGTCCACAAGTTGACATCCACTAGACTGTGTGGCCAAAAAAGACACCCAAATGATTACATAAATGACAGGAAGTCTAGACTTCCAATTTACTGTAGAAAATCATTTGACTTTAATGCATTGGCCTATAATTATTTTAGCTCCTAAATTGTGGCCAATGAGGTATTGATCTAATATCAAAGTTCAAGCCCAACATCATATGAGTCACAATGAACTTGTTAAAGGATAGTACAAAATTGATTTCTCAACTGATAATACGAACATCTAGAATAAACAACAGAACCATTATCTCCATGGAACTGGTTGGATTCTTTTCCAGCCTTTTCCTGGTGACATTACAGCCACTTTGAACACAAAGCCTAGTAGTCATTAAGTGAAAAGGATGCTCCAAAAACTTCTTAATGAATTTCTACACAAAGAGAACATATACCTTGGCCCCTTCACAGAAAGTTCTGAATGAATTTATATGCAAGGAGAACATATACCTTGGGTCCCTTCACAGCAAGATAATCACCAACACGCATCTCTCGAAAATGGTGTGACATTCTTCCTTGGGGATACATCTATTCACAAGCAAAGTCCAAAGTGAAATTCACACAAGTAAAAAGTACAAAGTGCAAATAGTAAATAAAGATCTATTCATAAATATCACATAAAATCATCTCCAACCAAGGGAATATTTAGGTTGTGTACCTTAATGACTAGTTCAAAATACCCAATGTCAGAATCCAATGTCGTAGGGGTATAAGGTTTAATAACCTCTTCCCCCCGGCTATCCTTGCCCCTGTCAGTACAAGAAACATATATTCACTGTTTTAATATCCTATACAACTATATAAAAGATTATTTGAGATACAGTAACATATAAATCAGGAAATTCATAACATTCAAGTAGAAATTGGAGTAGTACCCCGGCCTGTGGCTTGTGTGGTCACCATGTTGGTGCTCCACCCAAACCACCAGGGTTCAACTCCCTTGTATCCCCATTCCCCCTTCCCTATTGCCCCAATTTTCCTGAGTTCAAAAATAAAATTAAAAAAGAAGAAGAAGAAATTGGAGTAATTTCATTGCAGAGGAATGCAAAAAGGGCCAACTCAATCACGGAACCTGCAACTTATATGCTGTCCAATTGGGAGACCTAAAACTGAAGTAGGAGTTGGAAGTGTAAATGTAAACTTCGCCACGTTATGGCTCAGCTGTGCACGCTTGACAAGTTTAAACTCCTTAAAATTCTCAGGATCTAGGCTGCCTACAAAGAGATATCATAACATGAGCAACTTCAAAGAAAATAAAGGTAAAAACATTACTAAAACTCACAAAAAAAGAACCATAGGAAGGAATCACGCATAAAAGTGTAGCTGTGATTCAGCAAATTTAATTTGTAAATAGAACTGAACAAGACTATCAATAGACTAGGACAAAGCCGCTGACGCCTAACAATAAACAAGGCAGTTTAACAATATTAGAGATAAACCATAAGCCCATTAACATACATCCGCTTCCAGGCAATTTAGTGGATGTCAATAACTCATTTTCAGAAAAGAATGTAGAAAATGAAACAATTGATTAAATATTAGCTGAATCCAAGTAGATGGGTTATAGAATTGTGGAGTTGGCTACAAGTTGAAATCTCTTAACATGTTCACTATTGCTTTTAGGACTGCTAGGTAAGATAAGGACTTGATCATCTGAATGAGAAACAGAATGCACAAAAAATTGGCTATAATTTCCTTGTGCATTTTGCCTGCCAAATGTGTGAACCAAACTTGGTATTAAAATTAAAGAACAGGAGCCCAACACACAATAAAAAGCATACTTTGGATAAATAACATTATTCACCCTCACATAGAACTGCCCTTTAAGTTGAATCAACCCTTTCAATCAACTTTCAAGTAAGGTACTTCTAGCTATTTCAGAATCATTTCTCTCTCCAGTTCCCCTCAAAAGAAACAAGTGCACAGGGAAGAACTACGATAACAATAATACTAATCCATTAAGACAAGGAGCTGCATAAGGTTACAATTACAAATCACAAAAATTGAGCCCCAACAGTTACTTGTATCTAACAAATAAACTAAAGGATGAGCAGAAAGTTTATATCAAATTTAAAAATGAGTATGTCACTCATGCATGATTCAGAAACAGACACGTTACTGTCTCATAAATACTCACATAGCAACTCCATGCTGTAATTCTGATTCATGGTTAATGATACCCAGTATTTGAAATTAAAAGGAAAATCATAGAGACAAACAAAAAGGCAATTTCCCAAGGAAAATAATCGAACTTCAACTGATACAGATAATGTCAATCCAGAGAAAGCTCAAACCTTTGGGTTTCTTAGAGGAAAACAGGAAGGCAGCGCCAACTCCAATGGCCAAAACAGCCACTGCCACACCCACAAGAATTTGAACATCCAGGGACTGTAAAAATTCCATATCCATGAACCTGAACTACCCCACACTCTCTCACCTAAAAAGACCCCAGATTTATAACAGATTTCTAACCCAAAATCGAATCTAAGAAGCAGAATCAAGAGAAAGGATAGGAAAAAGCGCTCTTTTATTTCTTGTTTTATCTTGTAGTGAGTAGTTACCTATGGTGGGTAATTGTGGTAGAGTAAAAATGGGAGAGGTAGGTGTAGGCACACCTGTTGTTCTAGGTGGGACTAATTTGAAAGAAATCTGGTGCACCTACCAAGCCCTCTGGAGTTTGGCAGCCAATTGGGTGCTACATCAATTTCATATATATAAATCATATAGCTTTTCCTTATCACAAATTTTTTTTTTGAACATCCTTATCACATATTTTTCTCTGTAATATAAATAAAATTTTAATGTGGCCATTCTGTAAAAATGTCAGATTTTTTTTTTTAATGAAAAATTGGCAGATCTATAATTTTGGGTTTGAGCTTTGAACCCATTTGTTGTCTGTGGGCGGTGGCGGTTCCAGCTGTTCTTGCAGTGAGAGTGGCACGCACGTGCCGGCCGAAGGACGGATTGGCAGAGGCATTGCGTATTGGGAGGTTACTAACTTGTAAGCAATAAATGTATTCTTTTTTTTTTTACTATTAATTTATATTAAAAATAAAAATAAAAATTAATATTATATCAAAT